AGGATCCTTTTCTAAGTAACTGACAGCTGGTAACTGTGCAGGGGCGGGTCTAGCAAAGTTTTGCCAGGGGGGCCAGGTGGGGCATTAACAGGGAAAGGGGGGCACAAAGAAATACTTTCTTATTCTCATTTAAAATGTCTGGCTGTTATTAAATAATTATCTGAAGCTTACAACCAAAGTTTTTATCTGACATGAAATGTATAGAAGCAGCTGGAATCCATAGATGTGCGTGTTCACGGAGCTTGCATTGTCACCTGCTGGACACTACCTGACAAGTTTAACTGTCTTCAGAACATTGCAGAGGCCTTGTTGACAGTATTTGGTTCTACATATCTGTGTGAGCAGATTTTCTCTCACATGAAGAGTGTCCTCACGTAGCCGTCTGAATGCTGGACACTGGGAGACCTGTGTCTCCGAGTGGGAGACCAGAGATCACATTAGCATGTGTATCTCTGTATTAACAAACATGCCATATTGGCCCAGTTTATTTTTCTTATCATTGTTGTGAGGAGACCATAAATAGCATTTGTATTTTCTGTATTTGCTGTTGTGGAGTTCTTGTTATGGATAAAAAGTGTCTTTTTTTTTGTTTCAAAATAGCTGCTAACTATTCGCTGATAGCTGTCAACATCTGTGAACAAATATAATTCTATGAAGTTGTTCTATGTAGTGTGTAACTGTTAATATAGAGCGTTATTAAATTTATTGCTAATACAATCATATGGCACACTGACTTCTGAGGAAATTTTAAATGGCACTGGCCATCAGAAAGGTTGCCTAAATCTGTTGTAGGGTCTACCTTACAATATAAAGTACCTTGAGGCAACTACTGTTGTGATTTGGCGCTATATAAATAAAACTGAATTGAATACCATGAAACTACGTGAATTTTAAATAACACCATATCAGTTTTCAGCACTTTCAGTTTAGTTTTTTAGGATCATTTAAACAAAAATGATAACTAAAATGAAAATCTGAATAATCACACAACACCGTCTCTCCATTCTGTAGAACTCTGCTTATTAAATTGTGTTAGCAACATGCTAACACGGTTTAATGAGCAGAGTTGTTCCAAACAGTCAGGCTAAAATGACACGATAAAAATATAAAAACATACCTCACAGTAACTGCACTTGTAGAGTCTCTTTCTGGTGTGGATCTGTTGGTGTAGTCTCAGGTAATGTGGAGCTTTAAAAGTCTTCTCACACAGATCACACTTATAAGGTAGTTCCTCAGAGTGGGTAAACATGTGACGTTGTAACTTTGCGTCTGTTGTAAACTCTTTGCCACACTGATCACAGCTGTACACATCATGTCCGGTGTGAATGCGTAGGTGTGTATTTCGGCTCTGTTTCAGGCTGAAAGATTTTCCACAAATGTCACAGCTGTATGCTTTAATTCCAGAGTGGGTAACTAGATGACTCTGTAAGTGGCCACTTTGAGTAAAAGCTCTGCCACACTGATCACAGCTGTACGCTTTAACTCCACTGTGGATGACTTGGTGTTTTTTTAGACCATTCTTCCGAGAAAAAGTGTGTCCACACTCGTCACAGCTGAACGGTCTCTCTCCAGTGTGGATGACCTGATGGTTTTCTAGTGAAGCCTTCCTAAGAAAATCCTTCCCACACTCGTCACAGCTGTACGCTTTAACTCCACTGTGGACGAGTTGGTGTTTTTTTAGACTACCCTTCCAGGAAAAACTCTTTCCACACTCGTCACAGCTGTATGGTTTAACTCCACTATGGAAGAGCTGGTGTGCTTTTAAGCTTCCAAACCGGGTAAAAGACTTTCCACAGTCATCACAGCTGAACGGTCTCTCTCCAGTGTGGATGAGTTGGTGGGTTTTTAGTGAATCCTTCCTAGTAAAATCTTTCCCACACTCATCACAGCTGTACGCTTTAACTCCACTGTGGATGAGTTGGTGTTTTTTTAGACTATCCTTCCAGGAAAAAGTCTGTCCACACTCGTCACAGCTGAACGGTCTCTCTCCAGTGTGGATGAGTTGGTGGGTTTTTAGACTATCCTTCCAGGAAAAAGTGTGTCCACACTCGTCACAGCTGAACGGTCTCTCTCCAGTGTGGATGACCTGATGGTTTTCTAGTGAAGCCTTCCTAAGAAAATCCTTCCCACACTCGTCACAGCTGTACGCTTTAACTCCACTGTGGACGAGTTGGTGTTTTTTTAGACTACCCTTCCAGGAAAAACTCTTTCCACACTCGTCACAGCTGTATGGTTTAACTCCACTATGGAAGAGCTGGTGTGCTTTTAAGCTTCCAAACCGGGTAAAAGACTTTCCACAGTCATCACAGCTGAACGGTCTCTCTCCAGTGTGGATGAGTTGGTGGGTTTTTAGTGAATCCTTCCTAGTAAAATCTTTCCCACACTCATCACAGCTGTACGCTTTAACGCCACTGTGGATGAGTTGGTGTTTTTTTAGACTATCCTTCCAGGAAAAAGTCTGTCCACACTCGTCACAGCTGAACGGTCTCTCTCCAGTGTGGATGAGTTGGTGGGTTTTTAGTGAATCCTTCTTAGTAAAATCTTTCCCACACTCATCACAGGTGTATTTCTTCTCCCCCTTTGTTCTGTGAGGTTTGTCGGCCTCCTGAGAGCGCTGACTTCTCGCTCCATGTTGGTCCTGCAGTGACAGAGATACAAACACAGGCAGTGAGTGAAATGTAGGGCTGGGCATCATCACTGATTTCGATTCAGGGAAATTTTGCCTCAGACAGTCAGAAATATTAGAATTCTGATCACTATGTACTTATCAGTACATATCTGTATTTTATATTTCTAAAATGAAAGCTGACATGTGTGAGACTTCATCAGAGGTGTAAGCAGCACAGCAGATGCCTTTGTGTCAAAGTAACTGAGGATAAAACAGAAAAACATGAAGGAGAATTTTCTGGCCTGGGTTTAAAAATATTCTGCAGTGGATCAAACACGAAAGAAAACCATTAATCAACATATGAACATTACCTGATGCTGCTGAAGTGAAGCAGAGCAAAGTTACAGAGGTTTTATTACAGACACGGCTAAACGTTTTGCATAATTTAAAAAAGTTTACATTTGTTCTGTATTGAACAGCAGAAATTAGGCTTTGTTGCTCGAAGTGAAAAAACAAAAAACAGCACCCGACAGAGCTGTAAACAATGGAGAGAGAGAATTCTGCTGGTTTAATAAATTTTATTTTGGAGAGAGACAAAACCGGCAGCTTCAGAATCTAGCGCCGAAAAAGACGTAAACACAAAGAGCGGACCGGCGAACGCATCAGAATCAGTGAGCTGCCGGCTTTCAGCCCCGATGGCACGGACGTCTTTGTTTACGTCTTTGTGCAGAATCCGTGCACCTGCTCTCATTTACTGTTTTAGCCGTTTGGTGGTTGTTGAAATTTTCTGAGGTTTAACCTGAGATTGTAGCGTTTTCAGGATTTTAATCAATTGATATCATGTTATCCAAGCTACAATCAATTTTAATTGATAAAACCCTCCCCGATTGAAATGCAGTCGTGAAACAAACTGTCATTACTTGAAGCTTTTCAACAGTCCTCTTTGGTGACATCTGCTGGTCAAAATATGAAGAGCAGCTTGAATCTACAAATTATAATGAAGCGCATCATTATGTTTAGTATCATGTGACAGTTCTGTCTGATATCAGGCTACTGTTGTGTTGCTTTGCTCATGTATTTTCTGTGTGATTGAAAAGGTTTTGAAATTTCATTAATAAATAATTTTGATGAATATCCTTATTTAAACATGTGCTATGGTGTGGTTTCTCTTTGCTTGTGACTTCTTGATGTTTGTAAACATAATAGATGTAAAATAAAAAAAAACATAGTACATAATAAAATACAACACAGTCATATAACAGGTTGGGAGGATGAGAGTTTTAGACGCGACTGATTATTTGGTGAAACTGTGATATTTTCCTCACCTTCTGTGTTGAGCTCATTGTTTCCTCTGTAGTGACTCAGCTGAACCCAGATGGCTGAAAATGTTCCTCTGCTGCTCCGTCAGACTCTTCTCCTCCTGCTGATCAGCTGGGACACAAAACAGATCTTTGTTAGGCTCCACACTGCACTGAAGAGTCAAAGTGTCTCATATGTTCATCTGACAACACAAAGTACAAATTTCACTCTGATTGCTTGTAGAAATCTTGTGAGACGTGTTGTGCTGCAAAGTGTCTCATATGTGTCCTGTTTATTTTCTGCGCTTTTGGTCACTCAGACCACATCACTTTCTCCAGAGATCAACTGCTAAACATCAGGCAGTCGCCTCACTATAGTTCTTATCCATTTTTCACAAACCCGGAAAGTTTTTTGGAGATTTTAGTTGGAGGCGCAGCAGCTCTCTGTGGCTCCTGGAGAAGATGTAGACAGGGCAGTCGCGCTGGTGCGCTGGTGAAACTACGTCGGCGAGGATTCCGCACGGCACTCCCCTCCATTCACCTCACGAATCTCCGCTCTCTTCCAAACAAAGTCGATGAACTACTGCTCTTAAAGCGGACTAACAAGGGCTTTGCACGCTCTGCTGCCCTCTGCTTCACTGAAACCTGGCTCGGTGAGCGAGTCCCAGACGCTGTCTTAAATCTGCCGGGCTTCCAACTTCACCGGACGGACCGCGAAACAGAGCTCTCAAGGAAAACAAAGGGTGGTGGAGTCTGCTTCTACATTAATGAAGGTTGGTGTACTGATGTCACAGTGTTACAGAAACACTGCAGCCCACACTTGGAAAGTTTTTTCATCAACTGTAAACCTTTTTATTCACCGCGGGAGTTGTCTTCCTTCATGCTGGTCGGAGTTTACATCCCTCCACAGGCCAACGCGAACAACGCACTGTGCAAGCTGGCTGACCAGATTACTACCCTGGAGAGGAAATTCCCGGATTCCTTTACAATTATTCTTGGGGATTTTAACAGAGCAAACCTAAACTACGAACTCCCTAAATACAGACAGCATACTGTATAAACTGCCCCATCAAGGACAACATCATACTGGATCACTGTTACACCACTCTAAAAGATGCCTATCGCTCTGTGCCCCGGGCAGCTTTGGGACATTCTGATCACTGCATGGTCCATTTTATTCCAGTTTATAGGCAAAAACTCAAACGTGCGAAAACTGAAGAAGTGGACTAACGCAGCAAAGCAGGAACTGCAGGACTGTTTTGACTCCACTAATTGGACTGTTTTTGAAGCTGCATCTGAGAACCTAGATAAGCTCACGGACACTGTGACATCACACATCAGTTTCTGTGAAGACGTGTGTGTGCGCCACAAAGACCTTTTGCACATACAACAACAATAAACTATGGTTCACTGCTAAACTCCAACATCTTCGTAAGGCCAAGGAGGACGCCTACAGAAGTGGTGACAGGGCCCTGTACAAGCAAGCTAGGAACACACTGACCAAGGAGATCAAAGCAGCTAAAAGGATCTACTCCCAGAAGCTGGAAGAACGGCTCTCAGTCAATGACCCAGCGTCAGTGTGGAGGGGCCTGCAGGAAATCACCAGACGCCCCCCACCCACTATTGAAGGAAACAAAGACCTGGCCAACGAGTTAAACACTTTCTACTGCAGGTTTGAGACGGACAGACTCCCACGCCCCACCCTCCCCAGGGACATTGCTTCAGACATTGACCCCCAACACACCTTCCACCTCTCCCCCCCTTCACCCTCCCCAATCCAGACCCAACGACCACCCCCACCCTCCCCAATCCAGACCCAACGACCACCACCACCCTCTCCAATCCAGACTCAACCACCTCCACCACACCTCTCACCCCCCTTTCTTCCTCCCTGAAACTCAGAATACACACTCAGGATGTGAGCCGACTATTCCAGAAACAGAAGCGCAGGAAAGCCCCCGGACCAGACGGTGTCTCACCCTCCTTTCTCAAAACCTGTGCTGAACAGCTGGCTCCCATCTTTACTCGCATCTTCAATACATCCCTGGAGCTGTGTGAAGTTCCCTCCTGCTTCAAACGCTCCACCATCATCCCTGTTCCCAAGAAACCCACCATCACAGGACTGAATGACTACAGACCTGTCGCCTTGACGTCTGTGGTCATGAAATCCTTCGAACGACTAGTGTTAGCCCATCTGAAAGACATTACAGACCACCAGCTGGACCCTCTGCAGTTTGCCTACCAGGCAAACAGGTTGGTGGATGATGCAGTGAACATGGGGCTGCATTACATCCTGCAACACCTCGACCGCCCGGGAACTTATGCCAGGGTCCTGTTGCCAGGGTCCTGTTTGTGGACTTTAGTTCGGCTTTTAACACCATTGTGCCTGAACTTCTCTCCTCCAAACTCTCCCAGCTCAGCGTGTCTCCAGCTACCTGTCAGTGGATCACCAGCTTCCTGACAGACAGAAAGCAGCAAGTGAGGCTGGGGGAGATCACCTCTGAAACTCGGTCCCTCAGTATTGGTGCCCTCAAGGATGTGTCCTCTCACCACTACTGTTCTCCCTCTACACTAACGACTGCACCTCCAAGAACTCGGCTGTCAAACTCCTAAAGTTTGCAGATGACACCACTGTCATTGGCCTCATTCAGGATGGTGATGAGTCTGCATACCGGCAGGAAGTTGAGCGGCTGGTACTCTGGTGCAGTCAGCACAATCTGGAGCTGAACACTCTTAAAACTGTAGAGATGACAGTGGACTTCAGGAGACATCCCTCAACTCTGCTCCCCCTCACCATATCAGACAGCCCTGTGTCAACTGCGAAGATCTTCAAGTTCCTGGGTACAACCATCTCCCAGGACCTGAAGTGGGAGACCAACATCAACTCCATCCTCAAAAAGACCCAGCAGAGGATGTACTTCCTGAGACAACTGGGGAAGTACAGTCTTCCACAGGAGCTGCTGATCCAGTTCTACACTGCGGTCATTGAGTCTGTCCTGTGCTCCTCCATCACAGTCTGGTATGGAGCAGCCACTAAACAGGACAAGAGCAGACTGCAGCGGACTGTACGGGCAGCAGAAAGGATCATCAGCGCCCCCCTGCCCTCCATCCAGGATCTGTACCTCTCAAGAACCAGGAAATGGGCAGGGAAAAATCATCACAGACCCCTCACACCCTGGACACAGACTTTTTGATCTGCTGCCCTCTGGCAGACGGTACAGAAGCCTGCAGACCAGGACCACCCGACATAGGAACAGTTTCTTTCCCCTCGCCATCTCCCTCCTAAACAGTTGACCTGTCACACTGCTCCCACTGCCAGACTGCAACTGCACCTTATGTACATTCTGTAGTATTCATTCCACCTCACTTCATTTCTGTATTTTATGTATATAAGTTTAGATTAGTTATTTATAGTTTGTTTACACAGCTTTGTGTATGTATGTGTGATTTACATTGCTGTGCTTGAGAGCCTCCATCTACCGGAACCAAATTCCTTGTATGTGTCTGCACATATACTTGGCCAATAAACACGATTCTGATTCTGATGTTCATCTGACAACACAAAGTACAAATTTCACTCTGATTGGTTGTAGAAATCTTGTGAGACTAGACATGGAGAAGCTGCATTCAGCTTTTATGCTCCATATATCTGGAACAAACTCCCAGAAAGCCTCAGACCAGCTGAAACACTCAGTTTATTTAAATCCAAGTTGCAGACTCACCTGTTCTCAGCTGCATTTGAATAAAGCACCAAATCTGCACGGTTTTACTTTTAAGCTTAAATTTCAAAACCTACATTTTAACTACTGATTTTATGTACTGCCCCCCCCCCCTTTTTAAATCATGCTTTTTATTTTTTTGTTTTTTAATGTCTCTGAAAAGCACTTTGAATCAACTTGCTGTTGAATGGTGCTATATAAATAAACTTGCCTTGCCTATAGAAAGAAAACTGAACAGAACATCTGAATTCACTTGATGCTAAACATTCATTTCATAGAATAGTTTTTGTTGACATCTTCCTGTGCATCACTTTACAGCAGTCAGACTCATTAAAATGAGACTTTGTAGGAGTTCACTTCCTCTCATGTGTTCATCCACAGCAGCTGGACAATAAAGTTTATTGTGACCCTGATACTGCAGCAGATCGCTCTCATCCATTTCCTGTTATCACTTCAAATAGAAATCAGGCTGTAGAGTGTCAAACTCTGGCCCGCGCGCCAAATTTGGCCCGCAGCCCAATTACATTTGGCCCGCAAAACCATAGGCTTTGGAGCGTGATGTCATGGTAGGGGGCGTGGTCATGATTTTTCGTTGAGCTGCCATCTTAGTAGGCGAAACAAATGGCTACAGGAGTGAAAGCACACGGAAACATCAGCTATGGCTCGTACTTGCTGTGTTGTCAGTTGCAATGTTAGATCCCAAGATCGGGAAGGGAATAACCTGGAAAATGGGCTCTTTTTATCGTTTCCCCTCCTGGAAGCAACGTGAGGAATCTCACGTATCTGATGTAACCAAACGAAGACATCAAGCTTGGATAGCAGTGGTGAGACGAGCTGATATCGAGTTCTCTGCCATCGTTTTTTGTTGGTGTGCTCTCCACATTTTCATTCCGGTAATTTCTAAAGAAATTCATATTGCTCTTTATAGGCTTTTCGACGGCCCGAACACGGACACACTGTCGGAGCTTAGCGATTCTGATGTGTCGGCTCCGCTCTGTGTTTACGTCTTTTTTGCGCTGATTCTGAGCTGCAGGTTTTGTCTCTCTCCAACCAAGATTCACCGAGCCAGCAGCAAAGGAGCAGCAAACTGCGCTTCACATTTGATCAATGTCGTCATGAATTCCCTCTGACTTTTGCTGTTTTGCTTCCACCACGATAAAAATCACACTTCCTGCACAGCTCTCTCTCTGATGAAGTCTCACATGTATCAGTACTGATAAATGATCAGAATTATAATATTTCTGACTGTCTGAGGCTAAATTGAATCGAATCAAGTCTTTGAGAACCGGAATCGAATGGATTATAGAAATCAGTGATGATACCCAGCCCT